AGGTATATACATATTTTTATTAATATTATAATTATGTTACCCCTCCGTTGTCAAATAGCTAGAAAAAAATGACACAAAGCAAAAATAAAATAGACTGGTTAGGAATGAAAGAATGCAAAATAACATTATTTTTGTTTATGTTGCTCATGTGCGATGAATGTGAGACATGCCATGAGTAACTACGTACATCATCGAGAATGCGCAAAGGGCGGATGTTGCGTAATCTCCGTACGTTCGGTTTGTTATTGATGGCGACATCATGTGAACGGTTAGTTTAGACGATTTATCTACTGTGTTTGCAGTGAATGATTTTAAAACAGACTTGTCTGTAGTCATTTAACAAGGACATTAGGCACTGACGTCGAATCAAACATTTGTAAGTATTTTGGCCTCCACCATATTTTTACTTATATGATTGCATCTCTGTAGAATCTAATGCACGCGAATTCGAACACTGTATTGAATTATGTAACATTTCTATTATGTTTAGTAACAGTGTTGCTGTATGTTAGCGCAGTATGTATGCGAAAGAACCCTTAAAGTAACTGCGCTGTCAACACACTGCCTTGTAATCATCACGACTGTTCACGAACCTTAATTAAAATGTCCACATCCTGTATATCCCAATTTAAACGATGCTGTTTTGTTTAGCTGTTTTTTTTCTTGATTTGGCTGTGATGAGAATGACAATAAATTGACAGATTGCAGATTATGACAGATTACTGTCTACTACACTCTTTAGATACATGTCTGCATGTTTATCAGCCTTTAAAAGTAAGCGTTTCCGCAAACCACAAAAACATCTTAGTAACGTTACTTGAGATTTTTTACAACGAAAAGGCCATTGAGACATAAATGAACCAATCAATAGGAGATTGTTGTTAGTTTACAAGTTGTGACCTATCAAATGTTCAAAGTCCATGCCTATGATCAGTACCTTAACAAAACAATGACAGTCAGCTGGGTGTTTTCCAGTGCGGGCTCTCATATATTACTTTTTTTTTATTAATTATACATAATTGTCTCTTAGCCCCATAATAGCATACTGTATCACATTTCTAATCACTTTAAATGATCCGAACATAGCGGGGAAAAAACGGTTATACACAATTGCATTGCACTATTTTGCCCCCTAAAATTAAAACGGCAGAGCTTTGATCATAAAACTAAGCATTTAAATATCTTATTAAGACATATTATTGGTAGATATTGTGACAATTGATTTATATGCATTTTATGTTAGTAGTACTCTATATTGTTGTAAATATCTCATTGATTTACATTACAAGCTATCAGAATTGTATCTAACTTTTTGGCCATATAACATCTGCACCAAATTGCATATTTTTTGCTGTCTGTGCCTCTGAATATTTTTTTTTTCTTTCCTCCTCAGGTGTTTCCATATTCCCTATTCTCACTGTTATCATACTGCTTGAGCCATAAAATCCTGATGTATCAAATATGATTCAAAATATGCAAACCTTTTTTAGATTTGTTTTTAAATTTTATCTAAAGTTTCAATTAACTGTTTCATAAAAAAAAAAAAAAAAGATTGTTCTGACTATTATTTCATATATGTCAGGCTTTACAGTGTTAATTGTATGAGACCTATATAATGTAGCTATTTTTTGTTCATTACGATAAATAAAAATGCCTGTTTTTCACCAGAGCAACATGAAGATGGACATCTTCTCCCTCTTGGTCAGAGCAGCTCTCCTTGCTGTGTCAGTTCTTGGTCAAACCACAGATGTTGAAAAGCTTGCCCGAATGAATGCCGATTTTGCTACCCGGCTTTACAGCAAGATTGCCAGCTCAAGTGATGATAATGTAGCCGTTTCAACCCAGGGGGCTACCTTAGCTTTAGCCACATTAGCAGCCGGGGCTGGTGGGGCTGCTCGCACTGAGCTGCTACAGGGTATTGGTGTGGCCTCCATGGAGAAAGAAGGAGAGCCGGAAAGAATTCAGACCCTACTCAAGCAGCTGAGGGAGACGACTGCTCAAATCCAGGTCACTGGCCTCTTCGTGAAGCAGGACCTCAAGGCAGATGACAGCTTCAGCAACCAGGTTAAGCAGTTTTATGATGCAGATGTTCAAAATGTGAATTATGCCAATGGACAGCTGGCCAAAGTGACTATCGATAATTATGTAAGAACCAAAACAGGGGACAAAGTCAAAGACGTGGTGGAGAATGTAGATCCACAAAGCATGGCGATGTTAATCAGTGCAAGTTTTTTCACAGGTAAGTGAAAAACAAATGATTAAAGTCATAATTTATATATTTATCTTAATATTCCAAGTAGTTATATATTATTTTCTGCTAAGAAAAATATTCCATTACAATTAGGGATGCACAATATCTCGGCCACCATATCAGTATCGGCCGATATATGTTCATTTTTAATGTTATTGTTATCTGCCCAAAGAAAAATTGTCAGGTATAATAAAGCCGATAAATAATGCATTTTTCCTTCAGTTGAGACACTTCAGATGTGCACTGTTCACCATGATGGTTTTGAATTGCTTGAAATATGATTGAAATCAGTAAAATACAGTTAAGTGCAACATGTAAGGTCTTATAGGCTGCATAAAATGATAATGAGAACACTAAATTCTTTGCTTGGGACATGGCTTTTATTGGTGAGACTTTTGTTTTTATAATCAGGCTCAAAATTTGTGGATTTAGATTTATTGGCCAATATATTGGTTATCAGCTTTCAAATTTAAAGAATTATTGGTTATCGGACAAAATTTTCATATCGTTGCATCGCTAATTACAATGTACAAAACAATCAGCTTCATTTGACTGCTGAATATCTATTATTCAACTATTTCAGAGATCAGTGCAATAAGCTTTGAAAATGATCCTCTCGATCTTTAACAGGTTATTGGCTGCAACCCTTCAACGTTACCTTCACCCAAGAGGATCGTTTCTTTGTGAACAAGTATAACATTGTACAAGTGCCCATGATGCTCCATTCGGGAAAATACTACCTGGCCTATGACCCCACATTAAAGGTCGGCATTCTGAAACTGCCCTGTGAGGATGGCATTGCCATGCTTGTCCTTCTTCCAGATGAAGATGTGGACTACACCTATGTTGACGAATCCATGACTGGTGAAGTGTTCCGTGGATGGGTTGCAAAGCTGAAAAAGACGTGAGTCATGTAATCAGTCTCTCACATTTTCGCAAATCAATGTGTTTTTTTTTGTTTGTTTAAAATGACTCAAATTTCCATCAAACTCATGCTGAGCAGCCAAAGTGAGCAATCATATGACATGCTTGACAGTTACTCTGTAAAAACATGCAATTTCAAGAAATTTCTTTTGATCTCTAAAAGATCAATTTTATCTCTCTCCTCAGGAAGCTGGAGATTCAGTTGCCCAGATTTTCACTGAAGCAGTCCAACTCACTAAGTATGAGTCTGCCCAGTCTGGGCATTAAGGAGATCTTTGGGAGTACTGCAGATCTCTCTGGAATCAGCAGCGATGAAAGCCTGAAACTGTCAGAGGTGTGAGATTTTTCTAACAATACAAGGAGACTGTTAAAAACCATGTCAATTCATTTATTAATGGAACCATGATTTTAACTAGTATTGACATAACCAGGAGGGTGTAAGTGTGTGCATATATATATTGTACACTCCTGTTCAAAAGTTTGGGGTTAGTAAGATTTTTGTATATCTTGATAATTTATGTGTTTTATTCCTGTGAAGGCAAAGCTCAATTTGCAGATGCTATTCTGGCAGTCTCAGTGTCACATGATCCTGCTGAAAGTATAAATTCCTTTTTCTAAAAAATCTTACTGACCCCAAACTTTTCAAATGTAATATCATAAAACAAAATTCTTTGACATTTTTGTATTTGTATAATTTAATATAATTATTTAAATGAATCTGGTTTATTTCTGAAATGTATTGTGCATATCAATTCTATGGAATGGTAGTAAAAGAAGTGATATACCAGCATGCATTGACCAATGCCGCTTGATTCCAGGTGGTACAGAAGGTCACCGTGGAAGTGGATGAGACTGGAGGCTCAGTGTCCGATGCCTCCACTAATCTCCTTACGAGCCCACTTCCTCCCAGGCTCACATTCAACCGACCCTTCATTTTCATCGTTTACCATGAGGCCACAAAATCCATCCTCTACATAGGACGTGTTGTCGACCCAACTAAGAACTAAATATGTATAAAGAAACTACCGGTGAATGTGTTTTTACCAAGTACATGTTCCTGGAACAACATTCCAATCGACCAATCAGATTTGAGGGACAAGTTTACAGTTTGTCAAGTTTAGGCTTACAGCCAGGGTTATGTGCTTGTACATCAGTATTATTCGACTATCATTTTCCTCTGATTTTAGGGATAAGTTATGGCTAGGGTTAGTTTTAGGGATCGGGATAGGGTTAGAATTTTCGGACAGGAATGTTGTTCCAGGATCAACAAAATGTGTTGATCCAGAAACATGTCTTACTTGGCAAAATCACAGTGACCAGAAACTACCAATGGTGTACTTACAGTAAGAAACTAGACTGTATCAAATCCTAACCACTTGTTTTGCATGAATAACCAACTTTGAATTTAAAATGTATTTGTGTAATATAACAGAGTAGTGTTTTTGATGTTTTAAAAGCAAAATATCAATATAATATAGACACAACACAATATCTACTAAGAAAATAATAACTGTAAATGTATAGTGTTTTCTTAAATGGTTGATTTAGGAGATGTATTGATAGTGTGATGGAGTGTTACCCGGTTACTTCCGGAGATGTGCTTTGTCAGTATCAGCATTGTATTCGTATTAGCACTTCAACATGCTGTTCAAACACAACTCATTAAAGCACGTCGTATTCAACATGAGTTTTATTCATTGGGTACTAAGATGTTGGCGTTAATCAATCAGGTGCTGGGCAGCACCTGGCACAATCTCATTGGTGGGATGGGATGGAGAGTTCCAAAACTCTTCAATCATAAAAATACATAGTGCTTCTTTTTCTCTTCTTTTAGCCACTTCAAAAATATAAAACAGAGAATTTGCAAAGCATGCTATCATACAAGAAACAAAATAATGAGGCAGTAAATTAAATACATTCAATTACTCCTCAACTCTCGGTTTATCATGTTATGATGTATGGTGTGAGTTTTTGTGAGAAATAAGGCATAGATGGATCAATGCAGACCTTAAATGATGCCCCAGCACATCTTAAGCTGTTTCTGGTCTAGAAGAGAATGGACACATCAAAATGGAGGGACGCTGCTGCTGCTGCTGCTGCAGAATGAAAAGTCTTATAGAAAGGGGCTTTTAAGTCAATAGGCAAAGTGGTAATCACTCTCTCCCAGACTGCATTCCAAATGAATTCGACTTCCGCTGTCTGTCAGACAAAAACAGAAAAACAACATCAAAGAGTTAAGCTCACATTGGCTGAATCATTCCAGTTTACGATCATAAAATACCCAACGATGTTATATGATTAATAATGATCTTCAAAAAATACAGGATGAACACAAAAGACGTACACAGAGAGCTTCCTAGACTGTGTGTCTTTATTCCCATTACTCCGGTGATCCACAGAGCTGCTCGTGTTGCTGCGGATCAGGACGGGCATGGAGGAGGATGATGGGGTGGAGGAGATTGAAGAAGCAACATTGAAGTGGTGCGGTCGAAGGTTATCGTCTGGAAAACAAACAAGAACAGGTAAAAAACAGAAATCTGAAGGCAAGGAGCATAGGTCATCAAAAATGATGAAATACTATTAGTTACCATTTAATGGTAGCATAGGACTCTTTCCCGATCCAGGGCAACTTCCTGAATCTTTCACTTTTCTAAAGAGAATTTGTACAGCAATGAAACTACTGGTGATGGGTCATGGTAAATTCATGATAACATTTCTAAACCCAGACAGAACTCAGCTGGTGTAACCCACTGCAATAGCAACACAAGATGATTATGCTACGTACAAGGTTTTGTCTGGGTTTGTCATCTTGGTTGTCGTAGGATGGCCGCTGAGTGAACGACTGCGAGCTAGTTTGGCCCTCCGCATCTCCTTACCTGAAAACATTATCAATGTTATCAGTGTTGGGGAAAAAAGCACCTTAGAAAATCTGAAACTTTCAGAAAATGTTTACTTTTTTATGTCATTTGTAATGTTAAATAAAATAAAATGATTGCAGTAGTTTCCTGCATGTTCATGTACACTACCGTTCAAAAGTTCTTAAACTTTGTTTTTGAAGGAAGTCTCTTATGCTCACCAAAGATGCTTTTATTTGATCAGAAATACAGTATAACCAGTAATACTGTGAAATATTATTACAATTAAAAAAAAGACTGTCTTGTATTTTAAAATGTAATTTATTGCCGTGATGGTAAAGCTACATTTTCAGTAGCCATTACTCCAGTCTTCAGGGTCACATGATCATTCAGAAATTATTTTAATATGCTGATTTGGTGCTCAAGAAACATTTCTTATCAATGTGTAAAACAGTTGTACTGTTACACTTTTTTCAGGATTCTTTGATCAATAGAAACTTCAAAAGAACAGCATTTATATGTAATTTTGTGATTTTAATGTAATATAAACATCTTTACTGTAACTTTTCAATGCATCATTGCTGAACAGATGTAATAAACAAATCTTACTGATCCCAAAACTTTTAAAAAACAGTGTACATGTTAAAAAAAAATGTCTGCTATTTATTTTAATCACTGCATTAACATTATTGTGCATCAGAGGAGGATGCTAACCAGTAGAAGTGGATGATGTTGCTCCTGATGTAGATGCTGACATTCCTTTACTACCAGACAGGCCTGACTTGCTGTCTCGTTCTGCATTACAAACCAAAAAGTGAGCATTCATCCAGTAGATTTACAGTAGTATGCTAGAAAAACATCCAATGTTTAAAAGAGTCACTCACGTTTCTTCTCAGACTGTTTATCTCCAGTTAGTTTTGCCTCACTCTGCTGTCTTTCTAGCAGTTCCTATGTGTTACAAAACCACAAGTTGCACACAGTTAGCAACATTTCAAAATTCTTTTTTGTCTTTATTCTGACCTCAGAATATTATACACTTGACTTTGATCCGGCCGGAAAAACCCATGTAAATATGCAGTCAAGAGTTAAAACTGACAAAACCATACTGAAGAAACCATAACTAGCATCCAAGCAAGCAATAGCAGTCATTTCACCGTCTAGGTTAACTATAGACCTGATATAGTCTGGCTATGAGTAACCTAGTACTTCTAGCCAAAATAACCTTGAATTTGGTTACATGTCATTTTTGCAAGGTGTACAAGGTGTTTGGTTTCATTTCTCTGTTATCTAATTGATGACTAGTGTCTATTCTTGGGCTATGGTTTAAACGTCTATTCAATTTTCTCGAACGGACCAAATTTTGCCTTGTTTTACCCTAGACTTATGGGCTGGGTTTGGATGGCTATTAGACATCTTTTAAACGCAAAATTGCTTGCTGGGATAGCTTGTCTTCATAAAAGGATTTAAAAAAGGGTAAATCTCTCACCATTTCAAGTAAAAGATTCTCCTCCTTCTCCTTTTTTTGGTCCAAGAGCTCTCTTTCATGCCTTTTATGATACTATAAATATGAAGAGTTATTTCAACACTAGTGTTCAAAAAAAGAAAAGGTGTTGAGGTGTATAAAAAAATGTCAGAGCAACTAAATGGAAAAGGTTAAAGTCACAGATCTTTTCATACCGGCTCTGTAATGTCCATTTTGTCCAGCTCCAGAACTGTCTAAGAAAACATAATAATACAGTTTAAAAATTTTAATTACTTCTAATTAATGAAATTATACTTAAAGGTGCTCTAAGTGATGTTGGGTGACGTCACTTCTTGTTGACGTTCGAAGTATTGTCAAACAAAATGGAGGCTAGCTAGACCCTCCCTCCTCCTCATCCGCGCACTAACCCCCCAAACCCCACCCCCAAATCCTTCTTGTCGGTTATTGGCTGGAACACTGTTTGTTATGTTTCGTGGTGCGGGTTGGCCCAGTTTGTTTTTGTTGCCGGTTGTGGAGCCTGGGGTGTCTACAGAGACCACGTTTTTTTACAGTGTGTTCAGGGGACAGGCAGCTCGTGGATAGTGAGGAGATGTTTGCTGTATGTGACAAAAAAATGTTTCGGCCTAAAAAACGCGTGACATCGCTTAGAAGACCTTTAATATGTGCAGTATAAGCTGCAGTCACATTTACTGTTATTCAGCACATTTTCGTTATTTTACTCGGAATCCACACAATCTAAAATTTCAAAAGATTTTGCGGATTCAAGTTGATCAAATGAATTTGCCGCATTGACCGACAGAAAGCTGCTTGGTTTGAAAGTGACTTCCCAGTGAGCTGTGCTAAATATGATGCTACACTATTGCCAATAGACCTTTATTGCCCATTCAATTTTGCAGAAACTTTGCTAATGTGACCGCCGCACCTTAGTAATGAGAGCCTCACCTTACGCAAAGTTCCCACTACATCTTTATCCTTCTCACGGCACAACAATTTCCGCACACAGAACTCCAGCTGCTGAAGTAGATGTTTGTCTGTTGGTCTGATGGTGGATCTCAGTTTGGGTAACATATAACAGAGTTTGTACCTGCCAGAATGTTTATTTTTTTGATACATAAAACAAACAATAAGCAGTAGTACTTTAAAGCATTAAAATAAGCAATTCAAATTCATGGCACAGTAAAAAAAGGACGCAATAACAGATGTAAAAAAAAATGTGAGCTGTTCACCTGACGTTGGCAACGGGGTCACTGACCAACTCAAGCGCTGGAATAAGGAAATGTTTGCAAAAATACGACTTGGAGAAGAGATCTATTGTAATCTCACACAGGTCCAGATAGCGAAGCCTGTTCCAGTAGCTTCTACCTTGAGCAAGCTCTTAAGTTCAGAAGAAAAAACAGTCCTGACCAACTACAATTGCTGAATCTCATTCACAAAAATAAGCAGATCTTGCTTTTTTTTTTTACCTTGCTTTATTTTGCTGATTATCTCTTGCCGCTGTTCCTGTTTGCGGTTATATCGCAAGAACACACATAATGTCCTGACAGCTTCTCGCTGGACTGGCAGAACATTCTAGAACAGCGTAAACAGAAGGACAGATGAAACACAATTACAATTGACAGGATGTACAGGGAGGAGTGTGCGTGTAAGAAGTTTACAGTCGTAGTGATGATGTTGAACATTCTCTGAAAGAAGCGGAAGTAGATCTGGTCTCCGGAGATGACACGGGGCAGACAGGAGTAGCACTGCAGGAGTTTCTCATGACCCCGCCAGTGCAGCGAGGATGCCGCTTTCTGTTCCGCCGCTACCAAAGCAGGCACCAAGTCCGGTATGTTCACCTGCTGTAAGGGTGAGAGTGAAACATACACTACAGGTCAAAAGTTTGGGGTCAGTAAGTTCTTTTTTTAATCACAGTTATAAAGTATCAGTTTCCAAAAAAACATTACACAGCACAACTACTTTAACATTGATAACAGTAAGAAATGTTTCTTGAGCACCAAATCAGCATATTAGAATGATTTCTGAAGGATCATGTGACACTGAAGACTGGAGTAATAATGCTGAAATTTCAGCTTTGCAATCACAGAAATATGTTACATTGTAAAATATATTAAAGTAGAAAACAGCTATTTTCCATTGTAATAATACTTCACAATATTCCTGTTTTTACTGTATTTTTATATGCATTCAAATGCGTGTTTCATGAGTAACGACTCATTTTAAGACACACCATAGCAGCCCAGGCTCCCTGTAATTATTGACGAGACGTTGGGAAAAAAAAGAGTGAGGAAAAGCAAGAGAAAGAGAGGTAGAATGAATAGGATCAGAAAGAGCGAAAAGATCTTCACAAATCCCTGAATAATTTTAGTTTGAGCAAGCAGCTGATCATGCTGTCTTTGAAGTGGAGTGGCAGAATGAGTGGCACTGAATTGTGTGTGTGGTAATGGTGATTTGCCCTTTTGCAGTTTGCACAAAAGAAAAAATAACTTAACATAATAATAAAAATAATAATTATTATCTTTAAATAAAAAAATAATATTTCATATAATTATAATAATTATTTATTATTATTATTATTTTAGATTTATTTTGGGCATTTTTGTCCTAACAGGAAGTGAAGAGGGAGATGGGATTGCGAGCAAGGACTGGAACTCGGGTCGTCCGAAGCACAACTGTGCTACATGTCAGCTCCAACATAACTAATTCTTTTTTAATAAAATAGTTTATTATTTTTTTATTGATTTATTACTGCTAGGACCATAAACATTTCAGGCCAAGCTAAAATTCTAACAGATCACACAAAAGATAATGCTGCCTAAAGGCATCAAAAAGTAAAGCACATTTAACTGGTACCTTGCTCTCAGGTCCTGCTCCCTCCCCTCTAGAAGTGGCCAGCTCTAAAGTCTCCTGAAGATTGTTCAACAGAGCATCCAGTACCTGCAGATTCAAAAGCATTGAGCTAATGCTGCAAAAACAGACAAAATCAATAAAGCCTTCTCATCATCAGACGTTTCAGAAACACATTTCTAGCAACTCCAGGAAGCAATTCTAAAATTAGAGATAAGCTGGTGTGAGATCACTGACTATAATAGATAGTCTATAATGTTCGGTTTCCATCATCATGATTAATCATGAAAATCACTACTGTACGTCTGCACTATAGTGGATGCTAATGCAGTGTGTGACTAACACCGCTCAGAGGATCATGACAGAATAAACAATACCACACTCCTAGCCTCAGCTAGGGAGGTGCAATGCATTCATTCATCCTACACAGTTGCATGCAACCTCCGCAAAGGCTTACACACTTGAGCATGCGCCCCCAAATACACACACACACACACACACACACACACACACTTTTCAAATATCAAATAATTCAAATGAGCAAAATCAAAACATTGCTCTATTTGTTTGAGCAGTCAATGGTGTGACCAATTGCATAAGGGGGAAGTGTTTGGGAAACCTGTAATTATTTTTGCAATTCCATTTAGTAATGGTGCAGAAATGACACACTTCACCTTTAAGTTCTACAAGTAGTTCATTTTTGTTAATACATTATAAAGATGAAACCAAATAATCTGCTTCACACACTCCAAAAGGGTATGTCTTTTCTAACTAATGGGCATCCAAATAAAAAGGTTACATAAGCACAGTTGGCCTTGCGAGAAGGAGGTTTTTAATGGTCAGATGGCTATTTGCAGTCAGTAGAGAAACACTCTGAATGAGGAAAAGGTCCTGAGAAAGATTGAATCTTTCCGTGTAGAAAGTTGTACGTCTTGCACAACACGATGTGCCTAGGAAATGACTGTGCTGACTAGACACCTGAAAGCTTTTTTTAATAAACAAACACACAAACCTTTTTTCAGGACTCACCTCTAATGAATCATCCTGCAGCAAAGTGATTAGCTCTTTGTGTATGTAATGCACATTTGGGCCCAGCAATTTGACCACCTAATGCAGAGGAATTAGAGAAGATGGTACTGTGCATTCTGAACAGAGGCATTGCTACCTGTCAAAAATGTGAGGCTCATTGTGTACCATGGCAAAAATGAGAGAAAATTTGTACCTCATGGAAACCACCTGCTGCCGTCCTTCGTACTGAAATCTCAGGATCATGACAGAGACTTGAGAAGGTACGATATAATTCAGACAGGAAGTGGTTTGGATCTGCAAATAACACTATGGCCTGCAAATAAATAGAGAAGAAATCTACAGAGAAGAGTCCAGTCACACAACAATATGCTCATGAATTGTTCAAGAAAGTAACCTTAAAAACCAATGTTCAAAAGTTTGGGGTCATTATGATTTTTTTTTTAAAGAAACTAAAACTTATATTCAACAAAGATGCAATAAATTGATAAAGACTTTTACATTGTTACAGAAAATATTTAAAACATTTAAAATATATGTTGTCATTTTAAACTTGCTGTATTAAAGAATCCTGAAATCCTTGTTTACGCAGAACAACTGTTTTCAAAATTGATAGTAAGAAGACATGTTTCTCGAGCACCGCATCAACATATTAGAATGATTAGAATGTGACACTGAAGACTGGAGTAATGATGCTGAAAATTCAGCTTTGCCATCATAGTTACATTTTAAATACAAGTACACCAAATTACATTTTAAAATATATTCAATTAAATTGTAATAATATTTCACAGTACTACTGCATTTTTGATCAAACTAATACAGCCTCGGTGAGAAAAACATTTAAAAAAAATCTTACCAACCCCAAACTTTGGAACAATAGCATAGTACATTTGACAACAATAAAAATGTAGAAATCAATATATTGAAAGTGAATCAAAACTGGGGCTGTCAAGCACCAAACCGACAAAATAGAAACACTATAAAAGAATTATAAAAAGTCATAAAAGGGGAGCAGAATAAAATTTTATTTGTCATTCAATGAAAATCTTGATATTAACGCTTTCAGTAGCGATGCATGATGAGCAGTGACCAAATCGTTCTATTGAGTTGAATTCAATGAATCAATGAGTCAATGATCCAGTTGCAGCCCACTGGAAGGAAACATCATAAGTGAATAACTTATAACTTATATATAATGTACAAGTCATAAAGACTACTTTTATGACACTTTTATCAGGCTTTTGTGTAAATGAATATAGAATTTTCATTTTTGGGTGAACTGGTCCTTTAATGATAACCACTCTGAAAAATTAGCAGACTGTATGATTTGTATGACTGTATGAGTTATTTAAAATGAGTTTCATAGACATAACTTTCAGTCACCTTCATCTCAGACTGCAAACTTCTGCTATATATAACCACACTAACAAAAAAGGAGCACTTCAGACGTTGATGATGGAGCAGTCAGAGGTCTGATTTCCTCAAATGAGCTATTGAGCTATTCCAGAAGTCTTTGCCTCCACTGACAGATGTTAAAAATAGATGATTGTGCCTGAAAATATCCGTTGGTCAAAAGGCTTTCAAATCATTCAAATATTCTAAAAACCTTTTAAAAGCCAAGCGACCTTAGAACTTTTAAAAAGCATTCATTTAAGACTTACAATAAACTGCAGGGAATTTCCTGGACTGAATATTTGAAGGATTAAATACACAACGCACATCTTCTTGGTCTTTCTGAGAAAGTGCTCAATACCAAAACCACTCGTATTCTGAATTAACCTGTTTACATGTTGGATGAAGCAGAGCTACAATTGGATTATCTACAGTAGGTCTATTAATCCGACATTGCAGGTTTAGAAATCAGATTGGTATGATTTGAGTGCCTACATGACATTTTAAAAATACAATTATTGCTTTAGTCTGACTGAAATCTAACTTTCATACTTGTGCATAGTTTTACTTTTTGTTTTAAAAGCACCACTGAGCAACAGTGTTTACACTCTTGAAATGGCTCTTCAAATATACTTGGGACCTTTAAAGACTTCAGGCCGAAACAGTTATGGATGTAAGGCAGGGAAACTCACAGGAAAGTTGTAGGCACAATTCCTGCGCACTAGGGCGTATTTGTTCTCTAGCTCCAGTGGGTAGGGTTGGCTCTCACAATGCCCATTTTCATGCTGCAGACCCAGGCAGCACAGCTTCTTATAAAACTCCAGAAACCAGAGGTGTTGCTCGTCAGTAAAAGACTCTGTTCAAACAAAAGGTACAAAAATCCATGACTGTAATCCTAAAATATATCAGAAAGACTTAAAAAGAAAGCTGACACTGACCTGAGAGCCCATGACAAAGCTTTCCATACTGGAAGGACAAGGAGGCCAGCACTGCTTCATCACCTTTGAAGCATTTTTCACAGAATGCCTTCACCAAGGGAAATATGACACAAGTCCTGTCATCTGTGAAAGAGGGTGATAGAAAAGAAGGGAGGGTGAGATGTTGACAGAGAAAGAGTGTGAGACATGTTTCAACACAGAAGAGCCACTTGCCCATATCTGATTCTGATGTCCCAGCATGCAAAACAAAGTGCTTAAGATACGGAAATAAAAAGGAGCTGCGTCTGATGATATGAGCAGGTACACAGCATGTGTTTTAAACAGTACTCTGTGAAACAACAGGAAGTGCAAATGCTTTCACCCAAGTGTGACACCTCTCCGTTTCTCTGTAATTTAACTGTATTTCAGATTGTCTGACTTCCAGAGCAGAAAAGCTGATATAAACATTGGTAATATCCTTTAAAAAATGAGTTTCATATACTAAAACAAACAATATATTTATCCACATATGAAGAGTACATTTTTATTAAAATATCAATTGTCATTTTAATAAAATAACATAAGAATCAAACTAGTTCAAGAAGGGCTGTAAGTGGCTTACCACTGTCAAACATCTCTAAGAGGTTGATGATGGTGTCGAAAGCTGCAAGTCTCACAGTACTGGCTTCGTCTTGGGCCAGCTCAACCAGTTCAGGGAGCACTTCAACCTTAGTGTGGTCCAGTCTAGGACAGAACAAATCAGTGAAGCTTACATAAAACGTTAGACTTCTTCCTAAACGTTATTTTAACAAAGGAAGTGCTCAAGTCAACGCATCAGTCTGTCACAATGTGGAAGACTTGCATCCCTAAGTTTAAACATGTCAGTGAAAATCTCTCAAATTTGGAAGCAGCAGCAAAAACAATAAAGTTGTTAATAAAATGGAAGGAAATGAAGAATTTCTTTAACTTACGTAAAATCATATACACTATACTCAATATTTACAATATGCATGTATTATACAATATACTGTGTTTTTCTACATAGTGTTCTATGTAATGTCTGTGAATCAAGGTCAGGACTTTTCCATACAGGGGTAAGCCATTCAGACTAAGCAGCATTAGATATTCAAATAACGAAATGTCTCTCTGCTTTATATCTTTTTACCCAATTCCCCTGGTAATGTTCTCCAGCTGGCGACACATGCAGGCGCGCACCTCGTACTCTACGTCCTGGCATAGCGACCTGATCAATGGCAAAAGGTCCTTTTTCACTCTGCAGAGAGAAGCCACGGTAGACACGGTAGTCAGCAAACAAGCAACAAAGTGTAAGCGTATCTTTACTTTATGAAGAAAATTATTCTATATTAGGAGTTTCATAAAACAGTTTGTTTCTGTCATCTTATTTGATTGGTCAAGTGGTGTTTCAACAGTAGAACTCACATTGATGACTCGAACTTGCCAACAACTTTTCCTAAAATGCGACAGCTGGCCAGACGTGCCGGGACAGACTGGGAGAGCTGATGTTTCGACAATAGAGGACTCAGAATCTGTGCAAACAAACAACCAAAGCAAACTTAATTTTAATTCACACTAACAGCTGATCCCTAAGACATATCCCATAGGTTTAGAAATGATAGGCAGGGGAAATAATGCAGTTGTCATTACCTCTTGCCTGATAGTTTCCTTTGGTAAAGCATCGATTGCTGACAGCAACGTCTCCAACCAAGCATTGCTGACCACTATTAAAAATAAAGATGAAGTATCTATCGGTGTCCATGATGTACAGAAGTGTGATATTTTACTCTCGCATACCCTACTATTCAAAAGTTTGTGGACAGTAAGAATTTTTTAGGCTTTTGAAAGCAGTCTCGTATGCTCACCGAGGTTACATTTGAGCAAAAATACAAAATATTATTAAAATTTAAAATAATGATTTTTTATTTGAATATATTTAAAATATCATTTATTCCTGTGATGGCAAAGCTGAATTTTCACCAGCCATTACTTCCAGTCTTCAGTTGCACATTAGCATTTATTTGAATCAGAAATATTTTAACATTATAATTGTCTTTACTATCATTTTTGGTCAATTTAATGCATTCTTGTTGAATAAAAGTGTTAATTTCTTTACAAAAAAAAATCTTACTGACCCCATTTTATGAACAGTAGTGTACGTTAAATCATCTTCCAATCACAAGACTTTCAAGGACTCAAGCAGTCAATTCAAAAAGGATGTTGAAAACAAAATAAAAAAATAATCAAATGTACAATATATACTTTTCTACAGGAGCTTTACAAGCTTTCTTAAAGAATGACAACCTGTGTCCCTGTGGTCAAGATTTAGTAGAACTATCTGCAAGATTGAGTGTGTGTGCGTCTGAATGAGGACAATGTCATCTTGGAGGACGGTCAGGAAAGATCCTGCTGCGGCAAGCTGCATATCCACCCCAGCTACATGAAGCACTTCCTGTTGGAGGTAGAAGAGTATGATTCTGTATGATCATTCACAAACAGCACATATCAGGAAGTCATAGAAGGATCTCAAAACCAAAAAGCAAAAGAAACATGGTTTGGCCTACCCTGACTTTTGGCACCACCCTGCGGAAGGTCTCTGCTGGGTTCTGACGCACCAGGAATGGCAGGTTGATGATCACACTGGCCCGTTGGACATCCTCACCAGAACTGAACAACAGAGAAATATGGCTGATGATATAAATAACAACAGATGATGGCCTAAAAGCTACCAGCTTTGTCACATATCAAAACAAAAGATACAATTGTTGTAGTTCTGCTGTATAACAGAAGTTATTTATGTACTAAATATACATTTACTTAAAATATGCAAAGCAAAGTCAGACATGTACTTGTTCAGGTGTGAGATTCCACAGTCTTGATGCTCAATTGCTTGTATTGTTAAGCTTCTTTTATTCAACTGGATCAGAAAAAAAATCATAGTTAGCCACTAAGTTAGCCTGGATGCCAGCCCGAACCCCGCCCACAAAATTTTTTGGTCGGGAAGTTCGGTCTGGACTAGATCCATTAAGTAATTGACCCTTCGCTAAGCCCCACCCTCCTTAGTTACTGTTGCTACGCCTGTCAAGCTTTCACGGCTGCCACGTCTATTACAGTGTGAATGCACCGGTGTCAGACATTCCCAAGGAGATATTTAGTCATTTTTGGCGAACAAGTGAAATATCTGAGAGAGCCAGACAAAAGGGACAGCAGTATGCATTCAAGGGATATATCCACGACATAATATGCAACCGATTAGAGAATAATTTCATCAAAATTGAAGCTAAAGCCTATATAACGTTAGGTCCCAGCGCAAGCAGCAGCCGCCTCCTTAGCAGACCATTCAAATGGGAAACACACAAATTGAACAGCTATGTTCATGCACAGCAGAGTAAGTGAAATGTGAAAATAATCTAATAATTATGAATCAAACAGTTTATCCATCAATCTAACACCAGGAGAGCCGCGATCGGATTGGGGTAAAGTTACAGGGGTAACGTTAGTAGGCCGTCCGCCGTCGATTAACAAAATGCTGAAACATATTTTAAAGTATGTCAGTGAGCCTCCGTCTTGCCTTTAATCGTCTTATTTTACGTTCAAATATATGCATTATGAACAAAGAACCGCCATTATTTCCAAGCAATATGCGTTTTCTTTTTTTGTTAATCCTGTCGACATTTAGTTGTGAATGGGTCTCCACACTGCTTGATCCACGCCCGGGATTTCTCCCCTTTGGCTTTTAGGTTTCGGGAAGAAATAAAATGCCACCCCACCGTCCAAACTTTTAGAATACCGGGTATCAGATTTGCACAATCCATACGCACAACGCGTCGGCATGTTTCCCTCGCTCGAAAGCTTGACAGACCTCCCGCGCCTAGTTACGGTTGCTAAGCCACGATTGGCCAGTGACGGTTTTTGGGCGTGGCTTAGCGAAGGGTCAATTATGATCGGTTCAGAAATCGTCGGGCCAATCAAATTGCCAGGGCGGGCTTTATACGATGATGGACAGATGATCTGCAGTCAGCCACGTAATCATCACGTTATCAAAGAGCGCTTGGGTTGAACTGGTTTCCCTCAGAGATGACTGCAGCTGGAGAATTGAGATGCATAGATTCCGCTATCGCGTCTGTTGTAAAAGCAATCAACAGCGCATTCATTTTAAAAGACGAACAGAGAACTGCAATCAAGGCATTTGTCGATCGGAAAGATGTGTTTGCCGTCCGTCCTATACGGGACTCGGCAAAAGTTTAATTTATCAGCTGGCTCCGATGGTCGCTAAGAAGATGGGACGCAATGACAACCCTGTGGTCGTTGTGGTTTCTCCTTTGGTCGCACTCATGGAGGACCAAGTAAAAGAAGCAACACTCATTATTTTACTACTTTTAAAGGCACACTGTGGAATTTTTGGCCACTAGGGTGCACTCGACCTGTAATTTTCACGTCTAGTGCCCCTAGAGGCCACAAGCGCCGCAGCATTGTCGCAAAAGTCAACAAACAGTCAACCGGTCAACCTCCCGTGTCTTTATGTATGTGCAGACGGCATTTGATTTGTATGTTGGAGAAAGTTAATCGATTCACTACTGACCAAAATAATAATATAAATATAAGATTAATAACATAAATCCTATAAAGAAAACAAATTGAATAAAAGTAGCATACGCAGAAAACAATGTCTGATCAGGTAAGTCGCATTGACAAGGGTTGCCCAATCCTGCTCCTGCCGATCGTCTGTCCTGCACAGTTCATCTCCAACCCTAATCAAACACACCTGAAGCAAACAATTAACGTCTTCAGGATCTCTTTGCAATGGGTTGGAGATGAAATCGAGTAGTCGGGAAATCGTGTAACAAAACTGATATAACTCACTACATATTTCCGTTATTTGTAGTCTTCAGTTTGTTTTTCCTTTTACACAAATACAAACATATATGAGCTGAAAGGAAAAAAAACATTTACATTTACATTTGTATACGGCAGTATGTTGTGACTTATATCAGTTTTGTTACACGAATTCGCAGTAAATATTACATTATATATACACTTTTATGCCGATGTTTATTTTAAACTCTCCCTTTTTCTTTTTTTGGTCTCCTCTGACAAAATCTTTGCTTTCTTCCGAGTAGCTGTTGATTCAGCCATGACGACAACATACAGACGCCGGCAATCAAACGCGAGTTGAGCTCTCACGTTAGAATTTGAGGAAGTTGGGGTGGTGGGGGAAGTGACGACGTATGCCGTAAAGCGGTCGAATTTTGTAGTTCTTTTTGTGCTCGGGTTCCTACCAAAAACCCAAAGTTACATAGTGCTAGTAAAAGCGATACAGACACCTTCAGGCTTCGGCAGACGTGTCATTCAACCTATTGTAAGTCGATGTACCATCTCAATGGGTTTTGGTAATATATTATAAAGGTTGAAAAGTTCCACAGTGTGCCTTTAACATCTGATGTACTCATAAGAAGAATCAGGGATGTGATTGTGCGGTGAAAAAAAGCAGGAATTTTTTTTAAGACCCAGCGTAAAGCACTTTTGACTTTTTAAACACCTGAATCAGCCATTTACTGCATGAACTACCAGGAACTGTGATGAGTGACACACATGGAAATATATTTAACAGCTATAATTTATTTCTAGTAATACAAAACAGGACGTCTTAACTTATCTTTGGGGAAAATGTAAGAGCGATAACTGTTCTGTAGTTCTGTAAAGAAAACAACTGTGTTTCCAATACCGATCAATATCATTCAGTAAATACAATTCCACTCAAACTTCTACAATAGGAATAGGCAACATAAAATGTTTTTTTTTGTGTGTTTTGGTAAACTGCACATCATATTCTGGCTACACAGATAAAACAACCTAAGAACCATTTATGAATTATATTAATGCTTTTTACGCATTAGAAAATGAAGACTACACAATCTTATCAGCATGATGAATAAATTATATTAACTTGAATAAACTGTACACAGAAAGGGAGCCGAGAATGTGGCGATCGAACTTTGCGTGCTCTTTATACGCATAAATGACCTTTTACGTGCATCCAATTAGCAATTTAGCGCCATAGGCTACATATGATATGCACTTTTTTTGCCTACCAGATGCACGTATTACTTTTGCGTATAAAGAGCAAGCCTAATAAAATCACTCGTGCTATAGGCCTAGATATGCAGTGCCAGGAACGATCGTGAGGCTGTCCATAACTTGGGTCTAGCGCGAGTTTAAGCACGCACAAAACTCCCGTTAAAAATCACAGAAACGTGCGACATGAATCTCTTACATCGAATCTGCACTTTGTTGTTTATGATGGAAGTCAGAAGAATTCAGTCAGCGCACTGAACAAAACTATTCGTTTCAGCGATGACTAATCTGAACGCCTCTGATTGGTCATCACGCTCATAAACTCAACGGAAACGTGTGCGATTGGTTCAAATGCTCAACGCTGCAAAGCGAAATCTGATGGAAATGCCGTAGTCGGATGGATCGAATGAACATTAAGTATTGTAGTTTGTTTAACTAATATTATCACTTAAACATATCCTATTATATAAATATTTTGAAACAAATTACAATAACTTCCAACTCCCAAAACTTCCAAACACCCCCCACCACCCCCGATTTTATTTTTATTACTGATCTGCATGATTCACGTGGGTCATGATTTTAGGCTGAAATAACCGAAATTCCGGATTAATCCGGAAGAATCACATCCCAGAAGAATGGCATCTACGCTAATGTTAGTCTTTCCATTTATTCCGAGGTTTACTGAAGTCAGCCGGATCTGGGCCGTATCCAGATCAGACGTTGAACCTGCGCCTGGACACGACCACAACGCATCCCTGAAGTGCCAGCCTCATCAGCCCTGTGAAGGCCTCATGGACACCTAAACAAACTCGTCTCCATACCGCCGTGATGACTCCGACCTCCAACCGGATGGAACTGGATAAATATTGTGAATCTTCACAGCAGATGGAAAGCAATCCAATGAGACTCATTATTGGCCGACGCTTTTCACATGAGGACCATGATGTATGCGAGTGATGCTGACGCAGGAGCTGGCCAATAATGAGCCGGAGTTCTGACGTAGAACCTGGAAGCGCTGCACTCTGTTTAGAATGATGTTGAAGAGAAGAGATTGTTGAATATAGTCGTTATTTTTGTTTGTTTTTTTGGCCACAAAAAGTATTCTTGTCGCACTTCTAACATTAAGGTTTAACCACTGTATCACATGGACTATTTTAACGATGTCTTTATTACCTTCCTGGGCCTTGAAAGTTGCAAGGAAGTTGCTGACTATGGCTGGTTAAAAAACCTCTCGGATTTCATAAAAAATATCTTAATTTGTGTTCCGAAGATGAGCGAAGGTCTTACGGGTTTGGAACGACATTAGGGTGAGTAATTAATGACAGAAATGTCATTTTTGGGCTAACTATCCCTTTAATGCTCAGTTGTGCTTGTATTGTTTAGCTTCTTTTATTCAACTGGATCAGAAAGAATTTTAAGAAATAAGTTATGAAATTGCTTAAGATACTATGAAGTTCGTAGTAATGTTTGTAAACTGCAATTCTTGAAAAACAATTTAAGCTATTCTCATTTTTTAAACATCTTTTTTTGTTTTCTTCAGGTTACAGTTCAGCAAAAAAAAGGGCCTGTTTACAACTTTTCACTTAATG